AAGATTTGGTAGCCAAACAACATAAAATTATTAACAGACATTTGATAAACTTGGAAAAACAGACCAACAACATTCAAAAGGAAATAAAAAATATGTCAATGGCGCAAGATTTTACTATGTCTTCTTTAATAGCCAGCAATATGCTTCAAAATATAAAAATCACTCAGGAGAATCTTCTTGAAACTCTAACAGACATATACCATGGTCAATTTAACATGCATTTATTAACAGCCGAACAACTTCGAGAAGAACTCCACATAATCTCTGGTCATTTAACAGAAGATATAACATTACCAATAGAAAATATACAACAAGAAGTTCATAAAATTTATAAACTACTTAAGGTCAAAGCTAGAATGATGCAAAAATATCTTATATTCGAGGTAATATTTCCCCTTCTGAATAGAGACAAATACAAATTATACAAAATTATAACAATTCCTCACCAGGTAGAGAATAATATAGAGATAAGCATTTTTCCAATTGCAGAATACACAGCTATTAGTTTACGAAAGGATACTTATTTAAAAATCACAAACAAGGACTTATATTTATGTTTACATGAGGAGGATGTTTATTTGTGTCCTATCCGACAGCCCATTTACCATCTTTCAGAAGACAAGAATTTTTGCCAATTAGATCAAACAACAAGTAGATGCAGGATCTATAAGACATCTTGTACAAATAAATGGCTACCGCTGAATAACCCTTCACAATACCTATTCCACTGCTGCAACACATATGATGTTAAAATTATTTGCTCTGATCGTGTAATTGGGGAACGCCTAACTAAAGCAGGAGTGATATCTCTCGATAAGGGATGTTTGCTAAAAGGTCAAGATTTTACGTTGCTCTCCCACCAAATTTACACCCATCAAATTGAGATGAATAAGGACTTAATTCTTCCAAAAATTGACCCATTGAATAACATCATCAAAATAAGCATACCTTTAGAAACATTTGACGAAAATGACACCAACTTATCAGATTTGAACAGTTCCTTACATAACTTAGACCGTCAAATAAAAGACCTGAAAAAGAATAACGTGCAATTAACAACATTATCGTCGCACGACATCCATCACTATGCAATCAACTACGTGTTAATCGGAGTGGCAGCAGTCTTGGCGGCGGTGTTCGTGTGGAGATGGCGGCGACGGCGGCGGCGTGCACCCATCTCCCCAGACTTGGAGCTGCAGTCGGCGAGTAGTGTTAGTGCAGTGAGTGCGCGAAATCAAAGAAAGGCTTACCGTAAGCCTAGTGTTTTCACAGTGAGTGCTAGTGCGCGAAATTGTGATGTTGACCGTCAACATATGGGCAATATAGGTGATGTGTCGTGTGAAATTGAAAAACAAAACAAAGCGTGTTCTCCCATACCGCAAAGACATTTTAATATCTAATTATAAAAATAATTGTTTAATAATAAGTTAGATACTGTAACCATTTTCATCTTACAAATAACAATCATTCACTAGGTTAAGTTACAAATTGTTTATCACCTTGTTACTTAAATAAGATCATCTCATCAATCACATATCACCTAACTTACATTATAATCATCTCTTCACATTTTGGCCCGGCAGCATGTACGGTCCAACCGTACATTTCTGCTGGCGTTAACATTTTACGCAATGTATAGCGATTGCATTGCGTAGTTGGACAATTATAAAAACTGAGTTAGTTCACGTTTTCACCGTAAACGCGACGGACGCGAACTCATCAACATAACATTTAACATTAACATTTAGCATTATTCAACATATTTTAATCTTATATTTTTTACTTGTTTATTAAACTGTTTTAACATAAAATCTAAATTATTATTGAACAGTCGTCCATTACCCGAACACTCTGTGCAATTAGAAAAAAACTTTATTTACGGAGATATCGATATTGCAGTACTAGTAAAAACCATAATTTACTTTTTGATTTTTTATAAAAAATTGGAGAGTGTGCAATTACAAATACAAGTATAATCGTAATGTGCTATTAAAAATACGTCGACTAGTATTTTTTTATTACAAGTATCATTATTTTGCAGGCTGGGGTGGGGGTCTGTTGGCGTGGGCGTTGTGGTGCGATCGATTGCGACGCCATCTTGACGGACAACACCGGTATTACAAGTTGGACGGCCGACGGTTGCGACGGCTTCGGACACCGCGGATTTTGCGGTTTGCGCTCGTATCTCGAATTATATGGGCGATAGGAGGTCTTGCTCCCGTAAATTTAGATTTAATCTTATTTGTCTGATTTCAATTAGGTACGATTCATAATGTTGTGTATTTATTTGTAGCCTTAGTATAAATAATTTCAAAATATATTTTTTTTTTACATTTTTTTGGTTATATAAATGCAGGTACCCAGAGTTGTTTCATTAGTTTATTGACGTTCATGTATTAGCTTATATTTTTACTTGTTCCGTCGAATATTCATTGTATCTGTACTTTAATAGTAAACATACTATCTACTGATATATTTAAATAAGATAATAATTATATGCTTTATTTTTAAGTGAATAAATTCTGACGTTATTATCTTCATATGCGATACGATAAAAACGCAGATTACAGATACATAGGTACAATGTTTTGTATTTTTCTCATATCATTAGCATAACAACTTATAAAAGTCCACTGCTGAACATGTACCTCCTCCGTAGATTGCCCCATAGGAGGTATTTTGCCATATAGTTGCAGCGCTTGGCAGGCTGGTTGGCAACAGCGGTTTTCATAATTTTGAGTTATTATGAAGAAGATGCTGCTGCCCATTTCCTGTTTCAGTTTCCCTCTTTTTTACGACACCCACGGGACGATATCGGGTAGTGGATATATCTACCGTATATTATACCGTCGCTACATGTTTTTTCACATTACTTACCACAATTGTTTATTTCTAAGAAATATCTTCTATCATTTTTCTACTTTATACATGTATACTTTTACACCAATTTCTTAAAAATTAATCTGTATCATACAGATTTAAATATTACCCTATGGACGTTGATGATGAATGAAATAAACTTTAACGGACTTTATCGCGTTAATCTATGGTGGAGGATTATGTTTATTGCTAAAAATAGTTTGCCTCATAGGGAATACTTACTTTTATATTCTAATATTATGCGCGATGTTTCAATGGTAATGTAATAGTAGAATATTCTGGCAATAAAGACACTTCACCAATTTTTACAAACAACTTCAGAAAAAGGAGGAAGTTCTCAATTCGACTGTATTTTTGTGTGTGTTAAATCAGAACTTTTTTCTAAGTGAAAGGGAAGGCCAATTTTGATGATTCATTTTTTTATTTCTCTTAGGAACCACATATATATAAGTTTTATCGAGATCTGATCAGTAGATTTTGAGTTACCCTTAATAATGCGTATTTAATTGACTTCAACTACATTGATGAAGTTCTCATTTTATTTATATTGAAGTCGGTTGTACAAAATTTATAATTTTACCACTTGTCAATGTAAAATATTTTATTCTGTTTTTCAGAACGACCCTTTTAATGTTAGGAGGATATTCGGGTGGGGTTGAGTTCATACAAACGCACTTATTCCCTGGATCTTCTAGACTAAATATTTTTATGCTACATATATTTTTACTGCTATCAAGTTCATGATGATTTATCACAAATTCATTTTTAAAACGGAACCTTTCTTTTACAGAATTAGGGTTACGAGCGAGCACACAGTCCTCCGGATGGTAAGTGGATACTGTGTCTCATACACATTATCCTCGCTTAAGTATCAAAATGCAGATGCGTTCGTCACCCCTGAGAACTAAGATGGAGTGTCTCGTTTCCAATAAAAAGGGTCTGCGGTGCTCTACACTCACCATGAGAAACGCAGCAGCAATATTCTGCTGGTACCCCGGTCAGGCCGACTCATTTGTGTTGCATTTTGACTTGATCACGTAAAATACTGCATTTTGCCCAGTTTTACTGTCGTTATTAGACATCCAGCGAACCAATATAACGAACATAAAAGATTAAGGAAACATACAAATAATACTCCTTTAATTTCTTAAAAAAATATTCAAATCAGTCCAGTTTTGCGAGAGGAAACAGGGGATAGGTTGATGATTTCGTCACTTTTTCATTGGTATATTCAAGCAGAACTGCAGTTGTCTCTCTCGGGTTGTCTAGATCGATCGTTCAGGCATAGCCTAACAGCTATAGATCTGTTAATAAAACTACTCCTATAATGTATTTCGTGCTCGCGTTTCTTAAAGGTGCAATTTTTATTTTGTTTTTATCATAAAATATTCACAAAAAGGTAAGTAAGTCCTATAGTCAATACTTAGTTACCTTTAAACCTGTATATGGCAGCTTAACGCTGCTGTGTTTCGTATGGTGAGTGTGGAGAACCAGAGACCCGTTTTACTGGAAACGAGACATACCATCTTGGTTCTCAGGGGTGACAACGCATCTGCATTTTGATACTTAATCGAGGATTAATGTAGATGTAGGTGGATTGTGCGCTCATTTGTCACCCTTATCTATACAAATAAATAAAATTGAAGTGTCTGTTTGTAATGTCAAAATTACGGCTTTTTACTACATGCATATGAAAGTATATACGTTACTTATAACAAAAACACAATTATTAAAATTTTTGTCTGTCTGTTTGTTCCGGCTAATTTCTAAAACGGCTGGACCGATTTTGACGCGACTTTCACTGGCAGATAGCTGATGTCATAGGGAGTAAATTTGGATACTTTTATTTTAGAAAAATAATTAGGGTTCCGAACAAAAATACTAAAACCCCAAATAACACGCGGGCGAAGTTGCAAGGAAAAGCTAGTCCTATAAAAAAAATATACAGAATGTCTGATTATCCTCTTTTTTAACCCTTAAACTTTACAATATTATGTCGAATTTCAATCGTCTACTTAAAATAATTACTAAGAAATACATCGAGGCGAAGTGATCCCGTTTAGAATTCCTTTTGGAGCGAAAAACTCTATGCAGACAGCTCCATGAACTACCAACAATGCTCAATGGGTACCCTCGCCGGCAATAGTTAACGCCTTGCCCTGTGGATCGTCGTACTTGTCATTCGAGTGACAGTTGTAAACAGCGGACACCGCACACGCGAGAACGCCGAGACAAATAAACGTGACGAAGAGTTCCGCGAGGATAACCGAATTGAAATACGGGCCACAATTCACCGATTTACCGAAACTTTTTGGCGTGTCTGGCGCGCCTTTATCGGCTGGTGGTTGGGGGTTGGGACTGGTATTAGCTGGAGGGGGTGCCTGGGAAGCAGCAGGCCGCATCGCCTTCGTCCGCTCTGATGACGCCCGACCAATCCTCATTGTAGTCAGAGCGCCCACTTCGTTTGAATGGTTGTATCTGAAAATTAAAAAGATAATTTTTTTAAATTGGACTGTATGTTAGTAGGTCTCCTTTTTACCAACTTCAAAAAAGGAGGAGGTTGCCAATTCGACTGTATTTTTTTGTGTGTCACTTCAAAACTTTTTTCTAGGTGAACCGATTTTGATGATTCTTTTTTTATTTTAAAGTTGGCGCTTCTCATGTGGTCCAGGTGACCAGTAGTTTTTGAGTTAGCTTTAATAATGCCTATTTGACTTAGACTACATTGATGATGTTCTCATTTTATTTATTGAAGTCGGTTGTACAACATTTTTAATTTTACCACTTGTTTGCCTAGAAGTTTGTTTGGGAAGTTTATGGTGGCCTCTTATCTAGATCTAGGGCTAGATAAGAGATATAGAGAATAGATAAGAAATAGACAAGAGCTGCTGTGCGTCCGCCTGAAGGGTATATAGAGAGAGTATCTTTATAGGCTGAAAGTAGGGTTACCAACTCTCGAAAAGACCAATTTCATAAATGGAATTTTATGAAATCGAGTGGGGGGTTCTCGAAATCGAATGGTTTGAATAACCATTTCCATCGAGACAAATTTAAAAAAAGGTATTTGAGTATTCGCCAGAATCAGACTGCCAAAGAAAAGTAGAAGAAAGCTGTACCAATCTGACCAAAATAATTTTTACGCAATATCTATTATAAGTTTCACCATTCCAGAATTCTATACGTACTACAATTATTAAAACACTATAAACTACTAAGTTTGGAATGTAGAGGATCGCTTATTATGGGCATGATGCTGCATAGGTTGTGTAATAACAGGTTTGACTGTAGTTATATCTTATATCACTAATAAGTTATGTTATATTGTACCGAGAATTGTCGACGCGCAGTGCGAGCAGATCGTTTGTTTTACACCATGAGGTGTAAAACTGCTACTGAGAATTTATTGGCAGAAAATTCCAATAAAAAACGAGCACACAGTCCACCTGATGGTAAGTGGTTGCTGTGGCCCATAGACATCTACATCTATAGCGAATTAAAATGCAGATGCGTTGTCAGCCATGAGGACTAAGATAGAATGCCTCTTCCAGTAAAATGGGTCTCCGGTTCTCTACACTCGCCATACGAAAAACAGCAGCATTAAGCTCGTATCCTGTGAGAGCGTGGTCCTTCCCCGGTGGAGCCGACCCATTCGTGTTACGACTATACTATTAATATAGCTGCAGCATGATTCTTCCACGTGAAAAACGTTGTCGGTATTTAACCCCCGTGCCTCGGAAAGACCTAAAGCTGTTGATTCTGCACCTGATTTTTGTTCGATCCTTTCGGATAACCATCCCAATTGACTACGAGAGTGAGAGAATAGAGAGTGCATTTGTTGGGCGCCGTGACCGAAATTCGGTCTGGATGATATTATTATTAAAAATAAAATTGTATAATAACCTGATAATGAGAAATAGTGCCAAGGGCTCCCCGCACACGTATGACCAGTCCCAGGGTGCTCCTACACCCAACTCCGAACGCCCCACCTCCTCGCCGCCCTCGAGGAGGACCACGTTATCTAACCATATAATTTGTATTAACACATTGCATATAATGCATACCAATCCCATATTACATACATAACCGTATAGCGAAGTTGTTCCGTCGGTGTCGTAAAAGACGACAGAGGGTAACTGAAACAAGAGATGGGCAGCAGCATGTTCCTGTTAATGCAAAACCCGCGTGCCAAGCGTGGCAACTGTGGCAGAATCCCCTCTATGGGGGAGGCCTAAGTTCAGCAGAAGACTTTTATGGATGGATGGATTAATTCCATGTTCCTATGGACGCTTATAGTCACTTAGACGTGTAAAACATAGAGGCTTTATGCTGCAAGACCTTTTGCTGATTTTTCTGGTTTTGCCAAATGTGGAACCTAGTTCATCACTTCATGCAATGTTCACGTACAAAGGTGTGGTGGCGGAGAAAAAAGATCCATGAACGAACGTTACGACGTAAGAGGTGATTATGGTAAATGTAGCGGACAGCGAAGGAGGCCGCTGCCCCGTCGCCCCTTCACACCCCGTTGCGCCCCGCGCACCCCGCACACCGGCAGCAGATCACGCGATGTCGCCGACCAATCAGCGCGCGGCATCGCCTTACGACGCTACTCACGAACCGAGACGCTCTCTTGCGGGATATAAGAAGGGCGTTTTGGTCTGTGAGCTGTTCATTTCGGAAGCGGCACTCGAAGAGAAGAAACAGCAAGAGAAATCAAGAAGAATCAACACTAGAGAAATCCAGAAGACCCCTTTGTATATAGTGTAGTTTATAGTGCCGCATTGTAAATAGTTTGAATACAGTATAGTTCTTAGTCTCCATCTTTTCTTTAAGCAGTAAATTAATACAGTCCACGTTCGATCCCTAATAGTAAATATGATTTTTTTATTTTGATATAGCACTTGTAGTTTGCGAACGACAGGTGTTTTTATCGCCAAGATCGAAAGTGGTCAAAAAACATTTTATTAGCCGCGCGGTCGCTGGCGGTTGGCCGAAATTTGGTGGCGCCTGTCTGGCGCTTGAGTGGCTATGATGATAAGATTCCGAATTATTCGACGCCGCGCCAGTTTGATGATGAGTACCAATCGCCGCTATCTACCAAAGATAAACATATAATATATGTAAATATACAGGGTTATTTTTCAAAGAGTAGCCAAATTTGTAAATTAAGTTCAAATAATACTTATATATAAATAATGATACACCGTTATTGCAGTTTTTGAAAATATGAGTTATACGGCTTCTAAATTACTTTGAAATTATCTCAAATTGAATGTGATTTATGGGCAACAACGTTTTTGCCTACCGATCGACCCTTACGAATGTGTGAGTGCGCAGTTAAATCAGTTAAAATAATGCATTACCGCGCACTTTGAACTTAAACGATCAAAAGGACAGAATGTTTGTGATTTTTTTCCTATTTTATTTACCTATATTACTTATTCCGAACCTTCTCTGCAAATCTGGCCGGTTATTACTATGTGTACAGGGTGACATATATATGGCTATGGGGTGCCTGCCCGAGTCGGTAAGGTGGCCGTAGGCGCAACTGCTATTCCCAGGTCAGGCTAAAAAGCCTATTGGATTTTCCATAAATCCTGTGCCTGATCTCTCTCCGGTCATTTCGGATTGCCCGACGGGACTATGAGAGGGAGGGAATGAAGAGTGCTACTCTTGTCACACACTAGTGCACTATAACCTTGTTCTGCGCAAATGGCTAGTGTTAAGATTGAGGGTAGATTACTAATAAGCGGTCGAACTCTCCCACTCGTATAAGCAGCATAAAGAACTGCGCAGGCAACTAGGTTGGGTCATTTAAAGAGTCGCGATTGTTACAAGTCGCAGCACGTAAGTCTAGCGCCTGAACGAAACGTGAAGGGGATAGCTGCGCATGGGAACTTTCGCGTACGAATTGATTTGCACGAATACGACTGGAGAGCCAATCAGCGCGTGCGAACGATACGCACGTCCGCCCCGTGCCCCGCTTACTACCCCATGATACCTTATTTTCGACTTATGCACAATAACTCGTCCGTGCAGCTACTTACATCGTCATTCTGTCCATCGTGGTAATACTTTTAGCACTAGCAAAGGTGACGTAGCAGGGAGGCCGGCCTATGTCGCACCGTGATGGGCTATGTTGCTGCTGGTTTGCATACCTCATTTATTTTAGAATGCCGTGTAGTGGCGGTTAAGAATATCCACTACCCCATATCTTCCCGTGGGTGTCGTAAAAGGCGACAAAGGGAAACAGGCAGGAGATGGGCAGCAGCATCTTCCTGATAATAGCCAAAATAACAATAAAAAAAAAAAACTGCGGTTGCCAACCCGCTCGCCAAGCGTGGCAACTATGGCAATATACCCCCCATGAGCAATGTCAATAATAAACGGCCCCCAGTCCCCGGCGGCCCCGCTATTCCTGGCTACGGTGGCGACCATGGTAACGGCGGGGCAGGGGGTGCTAAGAATCTCCGGTGGAGGTTTGGTTGCCACCTACGACGACTCGACCTGGCAACATACAACGCACGCACCCTGAGGACTGACGAGAAGATTGTGGAGCTGGAAGAAGAGATAGACAAGTTACGCTGGCATATTATAGGATTATCCGAAGTCCGAAGAGAGGGGGAGGACACGGTAATCCTCGAATCCGGCAACTTGCTCTATTACCGGGAGGGCGACCATCTGTCCCAAGGAGGTGTCGGATTTATCGTCCACAAGTCTCTCGTTAACAACGTTGTAAAGATTGAGAGTGTGTCGACGAGGGTTGCGTACCTTATACTCAGAATCACCAAACGGTATTCGCTGAAGGTCATACAGGTTTACGCACCAACCTCGGCACACCCCGATCAGGAGGTGGAGGAAATGTATGAGGATATCTCCAGAGCCATGCATTCCTCCAAAACCCAATATACGGTGTTAATGGGAGACTTCAATGCAAAACTAGGCACAAGAGAGAACGGTGAGCTGAAAGTAGGGAAATTTGGAATAGGGCAACGGAACCCAAGGGGCCAGCAGCTGGCCGACTTCATGGAGAAAGAGGGACTCTTTATGATGAACTCTTTCTTCCAGAAGCGGCCCCACAGGAAATGGACCTGGTCGAGCCCCGACGGTTCGACAAAAAATGAGATTGACTTCATTATGACGACCAGACGACAACTGTTCAGTGATGTCTCAGTGATCGCGAGGGTGAAAACCGGCAGCGATCACCGAATGGTTAGAGGCACACTGAACCTAAACGTTAAGTTGGAGAGGTCTCGTCTAATGAAGTCAACGCTCCGTCCCCCTCGTGCTCTAATCCAAAGTCCCGAAACCTTTCAGCTCGAGTTACAAAACCGTTTTCAGTGCCTAGAAGACTGCAATGAAGTGGACGATTTGAATGACAAGCTCGTGGAAACTGTCCATGCGGTCGGAGCTAAGTTCTGCAAGACCCGCCGCAGAAGAACACAAAAACTCTCCGATCACACTCTTAATCTCATGGCTGTTAGACGGGAGATGAAGCTACATTCTTCAACAGATTTGACAGCATACAGGCAACTGAACAGACAGATCTCCAAATGCATGCGGCGGGACCTACGCAAATTCAATACAGCTCGTATTGAAAAAGCGATCGAGCGGAACCAAGGCTCCAAAGTCTTTGCCAGAGATCTGTCTGCCAGAAAGCGCCAACTGTCAAAGCTGAAGACAGAATGTGGCAGCATCGTTTCCGGGGCACCTGAGATTTTGAGTGAGATTGAGAGGTTCTATGGGCAGCTGTACACGTCATCGTTGGAGCCGCACGCAAGTGTGAGTAACGATCCAAGAGCGAGTCTTATCCGACATTATTCCGATGATATCCCGGACGTCAGTCTGAGCGAGATTAGAATGGCTCTCCAGCACCTTAAAAACGGCAAGGCCCCAGGCGAGGATGGAATTACAGCGGAGCTTCTGAAAGCGGGTGGAAAACCGGTACTTGAAGTCCTTCAGAAGCTCTTTAATTCCGTCCTCCATGGTGGCATTACACCGGAGGCGTGGAGCAGAAGTGCGGTGGTCTTGTTCTTCAAGAAAGGCGACAACGCTCTCTTGAAGAACTACAGACCGATTTCCCTTCTGAGCCGCGTCTACGTGCTGTTTTCGAGAGTCATTACGAATCGTCTCGCGCGCAGACTTGACGACTTCCAGCCTCCCGAACAAGCCGGTTTCCGAAAAGGCTTTAGCACCATAGACCACATACATACCCTTCGGCAAATTGTACAGAAGTCCGAGGAGTACAATTTGCCACTATGTCTGGCGTATGTGGACTATGAGAAAGCCTTTGATTCCGTCGAAATTTGGGCGGTGCTGCAGTCCCTTCAGCGATGCCAAGTTGACTGTCGGTATATCGAAGTGTTGAAGTGCTTGTACAGTAGGGCTACGATGGCTATCCGAGTACAGAACCAGAGTACGAAACCTATCCAATTGCAGAGAGGTGTAAGACAGGGTGACGTCATATCCCCGAAACTCTTTACCGCTGCATTGGATGATGTTTTCAAGCTTCTGGACTGGAAAGGATACGGTATCAACATCAATGGCGAGTACATCACTCACCTTCGATTTGCCGACGATATAGTCCTTATGGCAGAATCGCTGGAGGACCTAAGCACTATGCTCAATGACCTCAATAGTGTTTCCCAACGGATAGGTCTTAAGATGAACATGGACAAAACAAAGATCATGTTTAATGTCCATGTCACACCTATGCCGGTAGTTGTTGGGAACACTAAGCTCGAAGTTGTTGACGAGTATGTTTACCTGGGACAAATAGTCCGACTAGGTAAGTCCAACTTCGACCGAGAGGTCAATCGACGGATTCAACTCGGTTGGGCAGCGTTCGGGAAATTACGGCACATCTTCTCGTCAGGTATACCTCAAAACTTGAAAACGAGACTGTACACCCAGTGCGTGTTGCCAGTGATGACATACGGAACTGAGACGTGGTCCTTCACTGCTGGCCGGATGAGGAAGCTCAAGGTCGCTCAGCGAGCTATGGAGAGGGCTATGCTCGGAGTTTCTCTGCGTGATAAACTCAGAAATGAGGATATCCGCAGTAGAACTAGAG